GTGAAAGATGGATGATTGCTGAATGAATGTCTCATTATATTTTATGCGGCATATTTTATATATTTTAGGGAAAGGATCATGGCTTTAATTAAATGTTTTGGGAAAGATTTAGACCCCAAATCCTCAAGGAAAAAGGGTAATTAAAGTCAGAATCCAAGAGAGAAAAGGGAAGAAGGGTGCGGCAAGGAATTGGGAAAAGGAAAGGGACTTCCTCGCACGGCAAGGAAAGAAGGAGAAGAAAGGGAAGGAAAGGTGGTGCGGCATTGAGTTTAGGAATGGGATTTAGGCTTCTAGAACATATATTTAAGTGTCCCAATATATTTAGGAATCCCTTTGGCAGCTGGAACATAAGTAGGAAAAGATTAGGATTGACTAAGTCAAAATAAGGAAGTTTGACTTATGTTTCCTTCTTTGTAGCTGATTCCTTGTCTTCTAAGTCTTGAATTAATTTCTTCCATCTCTTTGGCATATTCCTAGCCTTTCTTGAACTTCAATTTCATCCATCCACCTTGCTCCAAACATGTGTTATCCATTTTAAGCCCAAAACTGCTCCAAAATGCTCCAAATTGCACTTTCTTGCCACTTTAGTCAATCGATCCCTGCGTCTATTTCCAAGCTTGTTTTGTCATTAAGCGATTTATCGCCCGCCTTCTGGAAGGGCTTGGCCTCATCCTAGATAAAGTGTTTTTCTACCAAAGTACAAGAATCTGCCAAGGTCAAGTTGGGGCCCATAATCAGCTCTCCAAAAAGTTGGTGATCTGCTAGGAGCTTATTCTGAAAGGTTGAGCTTACAATGCTATGATCGTATCTAACAATTTTAGCCCTTTCCACTTTGAACTTTTTGATGTACGTGCAGAGCGACTCCTTCGATTCCTTCTTCATGTTGAAGAGGTGGTTAGACTTCTTCTTCATCAAGCAGTAGGACGAATATTCCTTAGTGTAAACCACGGAAAGTTAGCTGAAATTCCGGATTAAGCGCGGCAACAGGGTGTAGAACCAATGTTGGGCCTCGCCTTGGAGTTTCATGGTAAAGATCTTACACATAAGAGCGTCATTGTTACCGTAAAGGTCATTGCGCTTTGGTTATGCATCATGTGCATTTTAGGATCTTCATCTCCTTTGAGCAAGATGAAATTTGGCAGGCTGCAATGGCTCCGTCTTTTTAAAATAATTTTCTGACATTGCACGCGCCCCCACGTGCCTTCCAAGGCACGGCCACACGCGCCGCCCACACGCAGGCACGTGCCTGGCACACTGACGGCGTCAGTTAACGCCATCAGGAATGTTCCGTTAACTTTGACAGATTCTGTTAAAGTTAACCTAACGCCGCTAGGAATATTTCGTCCAAACTGACGGAATATTCCGTCGTCTTCTCTGGCCACCCTCCGGTGCCGTCGCCATCGCCAGAAAACCGAGAAAATTTCTAAACTTAATATCTCATTCGTTTTTCACCCAAATTTCACGAAATTGGTACCAAAATGAAGCTTACAACTAAAGGAACAAATCCTTACCACTTTCAAGCACTAAAACCAACGGAATCTAGTCAGAAAAACTCCACCAACTCTGGCTAAACCTACAACTCACGATCCCGACATCCAAAACCTTCAAACGAATCACCCCGAGCTTCCTAAGGACTTCAACAAGCTTCTTACAACCCTGAAATTTCCAAAATCACAAGATTTTACGTGTGCATGAACAGTACTCCGAAATGAACCTCTCGGGTTCGATGTGAAAACGAAGGTTCCCTTACTTGAAATAGGTATGGTTGAACTCCTAAGAACCTCACGAGCACAAAGGTATGGTTTTCTTCCACGATCCGTAACGTTTCGAGCACTTTGGTTCTTGTCCGTACAAGGAAGAAAGGAAAGGGAGAGAGAGACAGGGATACGGGATAGGGAAAGGATGAGAATGAGTGTGGGTGTGTGTGTGTGGTCCAAAAGCAGCCAACCAACTTCCAAAAATGACCACATAACGAAACAAAAAATACTAAGGGCAGAACCGTCATTTCACCTCTACGGTACGAGTAATCCGGGACGGGCTGTCACAACCTACCCACCTTAATAAAATTTCGTCCCGAAATTCATAGCAACCACTCACACCAACCACTAGCGATCAAAGAACAACCGAGGATACAAATCTCTCATCCGATCTTCAATCTCCCAAGTAGCCTCCTCCGCTGAATGATTCCTCCCTAAAACTTTCACCAAATTCACAGTCTTGTTCCTCAGAACCTTTTCCTTCCAATCCAGAATCATGACTGGTTCCTCATCATTAGTCAAATCTGGATTAATTTCCAAAGGTTGAGGAGGTATCACATGAGACGGATCCGCAGCATAATGACGAAGCATAGACACGTGAAAAACATTATGCACTTTTGCCAGCTCAGAAGGTAACTCAAGCCTGTAAGCCACTTCACCAACTCGCTCAGTGATCATGTACGGTCCGATGTACCTGGGACTCAGCTTACCCTTCTTTCCAAACCGTACAACGCCTCTCTACGGTGAAAGCTTCAGAAATACCCAATTGCCAACCTTATACACTCTGTCAATAGCATGCCGATCCACTAAGCTCTTTTGTCGATCTTGGGCTGTCTTCAGGTTAGACTTAATTACCTGAACATTTTGAGTAGTCTCCTCAACAATCTCCGGGCCCACCAAAACTCTTTCTCCAACCTCAGACCAACACAAGGGTGTACGACAAGATCTACCATACAACGCCTCAAATGGTGCCATATCGATACTTGAACTCTAAGACCTTTCCTTTTCCCCTGATTTCTTGCTTGGATTATTTCTTGAGTTTCCTCATCAGCTATCTGAGCTTCAAGCACACGTTCAACTAAAATTGGCCTAACTCGAAAATTAGCAAGTAAAGCTACCTCTTGATCTTCTGCCACTAACCTCACTCCCGTGGATCTTAAGTCTGCCAGAAGAGGAACGCGACTAGCACAACGCATTGATACGGCCCTGAGACTTCCTGCTAAGTGCATCAGCTACCATATTTGCACGACCAGGGTGATAATCAATCGTGCAGTCATAATCACTAAGCAATTCCAACTACCTCTGCTAACCAAGATTAAGATCCCTCTACGTGAAAAGATACTGAAGACTCTTATGATCTGTAAAAATCTTGCATTTTTCTCCATAAAGATAATGTCTCCACAGCTTCAACGCAAAGATAATGGCCGCTAACTCCAAATCATGCGTAGGGTAATTCAACTCATGAGGCTTCAATTGTCGTAAGGCATAAGCAATCACCTTACCATGCTGCATCAACACGGATCCCAAACCATTCAAGGAAGCATCACTATAGACCTCGAAATCACCACTATCGTTTAGGAGTGCCAAAATAGGTGCACGAGTGAGACAATATTTCAACTGCTGGAAACTCTGCTCACAATTATCATCCCACTCAAATTTAACATCTTTCCTCGTTAACCTCGTCAGTGGTAAAGCAATCACAGAAAAATCTTTCACAAACCACCGATAATACCCTGCTAAACTAAGGAAACTCCTCACCTCAATGACGGTTCGCGGTTGCTCCTACTTCTCCACAGATGCCACCTTCTGAGGATCCACCAAGATACCTTGAGCAGAAATAACGTGCCCCAAAAATGCTACTTGATCTAACCAGAACTAACACTTGCTAAACTTAGCATACAGTTGGTGTTCCCTCAACCTTTTCAACACCAAAGTAAGATGTCGAACATGCTCTGATTTAGACTTAGAGTACACCAGAATATCGTCTATGAAGAGAATAAAAAACCTATCCCAATACGGCTAGAATACTCGGTTCATCAAATCCATAAAAGCAGTTGGTGCATTCGTCAATCCAAATGGCATAACCAGAAACTCGTAATGACCATAACGAGCCCTGAAAGCCATCTTAGGGACATCCTCCCTATTAATCTTCAACTGATAATATCCAGACCTCAAGTCAATCTTGCAGAATACACAAGCACCTCGAAGCTGATCACACAAATCGTCAATACGCGGCAATGGATAACGGTTTTTAATCGTTACCCGATTCAATTGTCGGTAATCAATACAAAGCCTCAAAGTTCCATCTTTCTTTCTCACAAACAACACTGGAGCTCCCCAAGGTGAAGTACTAGGCTGAATAAACCCTTATCCACTAATTCCTACAACTGAATTCTCAATTCCCTCAACTCAGCAGGAGCCATACGATAAGGAGTCAAAGATATAGGATTAATACCTGGAAGCAAATCAATGGTGAACTCCACGTCTTGGTCTGGAGGCAAACCAGGTAAATTCTCAGGGAAAACATCAGGAAAATGCCTGACTACCCTTAGATCCTCCACACACTAGGAACAGCATGATTCAACACCACATGAGCTAAGTATCCCTGGCAACCTTTCGATAACAACCTCTTCGCTCGCATAGCAGAAATAACGCCATGTCTCACCCCATTCTGTTTGCCCACAAAAGTAACCACAGGTAATCCAGGACGATGGAAGGTAACTATTTTCCCGTAACAATCAATATTGGCACGATTGAAATGCAACCAATCCGTGCCCAAAATCACATCAAAGTAAACAATATCTAACCGGATAAGATCAATTGGCATAATAACATCCTCCACCATCATTGGACATCCTAGATACTCACAATCAACAATACATCTTTTCCCTCTAGGCCCAAACTCTAAATCATACCCTAGAGGTGTAGGGTAAGGTTGCGTCACTTGAGCAAAGGTATGAGAAATCACAGAATGTGTAGCACCATAATCAATTAATACTTTAGCAAAATCATACCCTGCAACGAGATATTGTGAATACGCCCCTGGGTCTGTTGCAGTCCACCACGACCTCTATTCGTCTGGCCACCACGACTCTGTGTACCACGCCCTTGACTAGGTTGACCAGGCTACCTCGAAGATCCTGTACTACTCACAGCAATCTCCCCCTATTGAGGCTGTCCTCCCTGGTACCACTGAGACCCACCTGTTGGAACTGGAGGATATGGCATATAGCCACCAAAATACTAGGGATAACCACTCTGAGAATATGGATCTTGGGGATATGGATATTGTCCTGGGGCATAAGGAACAGCATTTCCCTGATAATAATAGGCACCACCACGACCCGTCTGCCCATAACTACCAGGACCAGGAACCTGCTGGATCGGTGTAGGTGGTGGCAAGAAAGTCTGCTGGGGACAATTTGCAGCCCGATGTCCTATCTGTCGACAAGTGAAGCAACAACCGCTGCCTCGCTTGCACTCTCCAAAATGTCGATTATTACACCTGTGGCAAACTAAAGCCCTACCTCTACCAGCATCACCCTGCCTCTGGCCTCTAGCACCCCCAGCAAATCTACCACCACGACCCTGGCCAGTGGCACTACAACCACCGCTAGAAGAATTATAACTAGTTCTACCTCGCTTAAAGCTCTGGGTCTTGCGAGGTCCAAGAGACGCCTGACCTTTACCCTTGTCATCTTTCCTCTGGTTGCCATCTTTTTCTTCTTCCTCACTTTCTCTGGGCATATTCTCGAAATCCTCAATCCTCAACAGAATCTCGTAGAACTCCTGGTAGGTGTCGCAAGGGGTAGTGGTCGCCATAGAACGCCACTTCTTCTTAATACCTAAACGGAAACGACGAAGCATCTCTGCCGGATTGGCAGCAACATCCAGATGATAACGGGACAAATCAGTAAACCTCTGGTAATACTCGTTCACCGTTAACTTCCCCAGCCTCAACTCAGTGAATTCCTGCTTTTTGCGGTCAATATACTCAGGAGGCACAAACCTTCTCCTGAACAGCTCTCTGAATACCTCCCAATCAGTCATCTCCTCTGGGGACAAACAACGAACCTCCTGCTCCCACCAGGATGTCGAATCCTTACCCAAAAACCAAGATGTTGTCTCAACCCACTTCTCGACAGGGAGGTTCCCCTGATTATGCAAAACACGAAAGGTTTTCTCAATATGTTCTAGCCACCGCTCCGCTCCCTCAAAACCCTCGTGGCCCTCGAACCTATCAAGCTTCAAATTATACATAGTCTCCAGAGGAGTCATCTGGGTAGGGCGGAGTGCCAACTACATAACTGTAGCGATAGCTTCCCCCAGTTGAGCTACATAGGGGAAACTAGGCTCAGCAAAGCGACGTGGTTCTCTACGAGGTGGCATAGTTCTGACGGAAGACACCAAAACAATTAGAATACTCATAAAAGCACAGGACTGCCAAACCTAGGGTCTGATACTAAACTGACACACCCTGACCGAAGTCAAGGCATGCTGGTCGTCACTTGAGAGTGACGTAACCATGTGCACTGATGCGAGAATTATACGCACACAAATAAACCCTCTTTTTATCAGTTGTAGTAAGTATGTAAGTAGGGATCGTTCTAGGCCGGGGATTAGGAGGGATTGCTAATCTAATGAAAATTGACTCAAAGATGTAAAAATATGTTTTAAAACACTTTAAATAGACTCACAAGACTCTTACTAACTTATATGACTCAAAACAAACTTTAAAGACTCAAAATAACTCTTTTGGACAGATTTGGAACAAATAAGAAGGGGGTTTTGATTTTGGACGAATTTAAAAGAAAACAAGTGACTTAAAACTTTAAAACAGATTTTGGACGAAAATAAGAAAAACTAATGGATGATGGGATAGCCAAGGGATACTTCTCCACACATGATACTTTCTAACATAAATTGATTTCCAGTTGCTTTTCCGATAAACCATGAACCTCAACACCCCAGATTAACCGTGAATTGCACTAATTAACCCTCAGATTTTCCTAACGTTATTGAATTGGATGATTGCATACGACAACCCAAAACATTCCCCACAAGTCCCCTACATGATTGCATAATAGAGATACAAGCAAGAATCATTAAGTTTTATGAAAACCATAAGCATTGACGAAGCACTTGTTACTATGATTGCATGAAACTTATGCCAAGAATTTACTTAACATGATTGTGAAAACAACCGTAACTACTTGTGAATATTAGTTTGTGATGATTAGGTGAAACACCCTAATATTCTAGCTCCAAATTCAAGCATGCAAATTAAGTAGGCCTCCCTAATAAACATACAAGAATAAGTTATCCGTCAAACGGTTAAGTAAATTGCGTTCACAATTTATGAAATCACAACTGGACTTAATCAACTCATATTATAAATGTAATCATGGTTTCAAAGCATCCCTTAGCCATGGGGGGTTTAGTTCCTCATACGTACAAGACAAAGATAAGTAAATTTAATCATTGAATATCAAGGAGAGAAAACACCTAAAAATTCCAACAACTCAAACTTGAATTGTATGAACGTTTAGGCACTCTTCTCCTCCTCTTTGTTGTGGCACAAGGTCTAAGGATAGTGTTTTGGAGGGTATTTGTATGTGGAATGGAGTGAGGAGTGGTGGAAATGGAAGTGACGGTGTTTGGATTATGCACGGGTTAGGGATTCTGGAATGGTAGGGAAGGCACGGCACAAAAGGGGATCCTCTTCCTTGATGGTGAGGGAATGCATGGTTTTATAGGGAGAATGGGAGAATATGTGGCTGAAATAATGAAGGGAATGCATGTGAAAAACAGCTAGGAAAGAATGATTAAAGATGGAATGCATGTGCAATGACAGCTAGGTTGGTTGGTGGAAAGCTGGAATTGCAAAAATGGAATGCATGTGCACGGCAAGGTGTGGAGAAAGGGGTGAATGGCTGAATGTGGTGCAATGATGAAGGAATAATGTCATGGTGGCTGAAATGATGAAGTGGGATGGCTGGAATTAGGGGTGAATGTGCACGGCAATGGTTGTGTGATATAGAAATGGGAGAAAATGGATGAATGATTAAGAGTGCATGTGGGTTATGGCTGAAATAGGTATGAGAAAGTAAGGTGTTTAAGTGTTTAAAATAGGGAACAAAGCCCTTCCTTGTATGGCAAGGAAGGGAGACACAAGGAAACACACGGCATTGCTTAAGGTTACAAGTTTTGTGACCTAGAATAGGTAGGAGCCCTTGATATTGCTGAAACTTGGAGTCTTTAATTTCGTCCATTCCTTTTGCTCCAAACATAAGCTATCCATTCCAAGTCCAATTTTGCTCCAAAATGCTCCAAAATGCATCTTTTTGCTTCCTTAGCCATATGAACCTAAAAACACACGAAAATGGCTTAAACTACTAAAACAACTAGGAATTAACAATATAAATGCACGAAAACAAGCTAAGTAAGTCGCCTAAATATGCTCCTATCATGCACAGTGCGAAAACTAAGAATAATAATAAAGTATGAATAAATAAAAACCAAGCTGTACATTGAGTAAATAACATACATGTGCAAGCGTAAGTGTGAAAAACAATATTCAGAGCACGGAAGACCTAGTGCAGTCCGAGGAAAACAAACACTAAACAAACACATCCAGAGGTGGTCCTACACTGGTGATAATCTGTCAGATATGCTGTGAATTCCTCAAGAGCCACCAACAAAGCTATCCAAACTAGAACCTGGAGGGGCGCAAAACAGAAAGCGTGAGTGGGCAAAAACAAAGCTTTTTAAAACCATTTCATAACAAAAATTCTAACCCCTTGCCGTAAAACCTGTATAATTTCCCAAAACATAGAATATACACATATATATAACATGCTCAGAACTATGCCATGTCATGCCTCTAAATAAAATGCACGTACTTAGGTAATGTTAATCAATGCCATATAATCTGTCAGCCAGAGTCACTTAACGTGACCTGTACGGCTGAATCTAGAGCTCAAATCCACAACTCACTAACTATACCTGCACACGAGTAAGAACCACCTAAAGTGGTCTATACGATAGGACTGGGTGTAAATAAATATGCTTAAGTGCTACGATCACGTGAAGGCTGGACGAATAATCGAGGGTCACCTATGAGTCGGAACCACCTAATGTGGTCTGTACGACAGGACTGTGCACCTAACTTGGATCCAAGATGAGCGTGTGGTGCGGGAGGTGAACATCACGTGAAGGACTGTGCCCTACCCTGGGCGGGAGCACTAACACGAGGGGTGCAGGTTATGAGCTCTCCATGCATCTCAAATCATTACTAATCACAACATAAAGCATAACTTACATGTGCATCTGAAGCACCAAACATATATATATATATATATATTAATTAGGCAAACGCAAAGCATGGCATTTAAAACATATAAATGTTTCATTTCATTTTCTGGGAAAAACAAAAGTATATAGGTATATATGGAAAACCAAAAGCCCACTCACTGGTATGTAGAAGGGTCGTAACCCCTTTGCCTCGAGTGACTGCGCTTGTCCTCAGGATAGGTCTCACCTATATGCGAAACAACTATAAAAACGTTAATTTAAAGCACATAACCCAAACTAGGTAAAAACTTCTCATACAATGCTCAAATGGGGTGTATGAATACACCAACGTGATCTACTCAACCTCACGAACATCCTTATATTTTTAAAATAATTTTCTGACACCGCACGCGCCCCTACGTGCCTGCCAAGGCATGGCTACACGCGCCGCCCACGCGCAAGCACGTGCTTGGCACACTGACGGCGTCAGTTAACGCTATTAGGAATATTTTGTTAAATTTGACAGATTTCGTTAAAGTTAACCTAACGCCGTTAGGAATATTCCATCCAAACTGATGGAATATTCCGTCGTCTTCTCTGGCCACCCTCTAGCATTGTCACAGTCGCCAGAAAACCGGGAAAATTTCTAAACTTAATATCTCACTCGTTTTTCACCCAAATTTCACAAAATTGGTACCAAAATGAAGCTTACAACTAAAGGAACAAATCTTACCACTTTCAAGCACTAAAACCAACGGAATCTCGTCGAAAAAACTCCACCAACTCCGGCCAAACCTGCAACTCACGATCCCGACGTCCAAAACCTTCAAACAAACCACCCCGAGCTTCCTAAGGACCTCAACAAGCTTCCTACAAGCCTGAAATTCCCAAAATCACAAGATTTTACGTGTGCATGTACAGTACTCCGAAATGAACCTCTCGGGTTCGACGTGAAAACGAAGGTTCCCTTACCTGAAATGGGTATGGTTGAACTCCTAAGAACCTCATGAGCACAAAGGTATGGTTTTCTTCCACGATCCGTAACGTTTTCGAGCACTTTGGTTCCTGTCCGTACAAGGAAGAAAGGAAAGGTAGAGAGAGACAGGGATACGGGACAGGGAAAGGATGAGAATGAGTGTGGGTGTGTGTGTGTGGTCCAAAAGCAGCCAACCAACTTCCAAAAACGACCACACAACGAAACAAAAAATACTAGGGGCAAAACCATCATTTCACCCTTACGGTACTAATAATCCGGGACGGGGTGTCACAGTAGAGGCTTGATCTTGAATGAAATTAAACTTCTTCTTCAAGGGCTGTAGAGGCTTGATCTTGAAATAAATTAAATTTTTTTCCTTCAAGGTCAATAGAGGCGTGATCTTGGAAGACATGAAATTTTTCTTCAAGGGCCACAGAGGCTTGATTTTGAAAGAAATGATAGTGTTTCTTCAAGAGCCATAGAAGCTTGATCTTGATAGAAAATTTTAAAAATGGATAATCGGCACATACTTCTTGTGCGTATTGATTTTCTACAATTGTGACAAAATACATGTGGTGTATTTTGAATTTTTTTTTCTCTGTGGTTGTAGGAAAAAATGTTTCCCTTCATTCGATAGGAATCCCCTTCAATTTTGGTAACGATGGTGACTTCCTTCAAAGTGTTGGAAAACTACTTCAAGGTTTTGGAAATATGTAATGCTTATCCTTGGGTTAGTAGGATGTGTGCATTTTTCACTCTCCCCTTTTTCTTTTATTCCTTTTGATCCCCATGGCAAGGGGAAAAATTTTGTTTCCTCTTCCCTTTCCCCACGGCAAGGAAAGGGATTTTGTTCCTTGTTTTGAATTTCCCACAGCAAGGAGGAGTACTTTTTGCTTCCTCTTGTGATTTCCCAGGGCAAGGGAGGGAATAATTTTTCTTTCCCTTTTTTTATTTCTTATCTCAAGGAGGATTATTTTTCTTACCCCTTTTGATTCCCCACGACAAAGAG